TCTATAAGAGATTTGCAATCTGAAAGCGGATGATCAAAGATAACAATATCAAAATTTTCTCGAGAGGCTTGGCAAGCAAGTATGTCAGTGCATTTGTACGCTTCTCTAAACATGTGATTAAAAGTAACTATTCAATCTTTCATGACAAACTGTCTAACTCTCTTGATAGTATCAGATAAAGGATGATTGCCAGGAGTATTATGCTGAATAAGTGAAAGGGCGTCAATAGATCAGAATGGATATTGATTTTAGTAAAACCTGCGTTCCAACAAAACTGAAGACCTTCTAAGATTCCCAAGACCTTCATGTCAGTAAAACCCTTTATATGTGAATTTTCAACCAAACTTAAAATTCAAAAATTTTACTGCATACTTGTGGGCATTGATATGAAATTAAAGAGTTAATTAAATAATCTTATTATTTTTGATAAGCTAGGTGTAAAGGGTGTCCTAAATTAGGACTTAATCATCAGACTAACTATAGTAAATCAAGGACTAACCCAAAAGGATTATCTTATAAGAGATTAACCTAAATAAATTTTTAATATGTATTTTCACAAACGATTTAATATAAAAGGATCCCAAATCTTTAAATATTTCAAGAACTCATATCATTCAATTAAACATATGCAGAAGCATGATAAAGGAAACACATCGACATGGGAGAAAAACTTCCTCCTTTTATTTTCTTTTTATGCCTTACTCCATGATACATATATACATATTTACAACATAACACTTGGCCACTCAAACCCTTTCATAACTGGCAGCGAGGGGCCAAGGTCTCAATCACATTTATCACAATGACTATTACCTAATCATCATAATCTATATATCATTTATTTATCAATAGCCCATCATATGCATGAATTTTCCTTTTCATTCACATATAATTAATATTAACTGCTCACCCTTAGACATAAAACACAAGGGAAGATTATAACAACATTCAAGTTCTCAAATTAAGTAAATATTAACTATTTCTACTTGATCAAATATTTTAGCCCATTAATATAGCACAAACATCAAACCACATTTCCCAAGGCCCAAAATACATTCCCACCAAACACAAAATCCATAATGCAAGTGGATCAAGAATATATTATCCTAGTTGGTAATATCATAAACTAAATACACATATCAAAATAAAAAAAGAAAGGCCTACAGAAGTGATTACTATCACTTGGCCTAATACTCCTTTCCTCTGCTCTTCTAAGATGAGCTAACTCCTGTAATATGTTAAAAGAGAGGGGCGAGTACAACCACTCAGTAACCAAAGTACATTTAAGTTATACAAATGCATGAGAATTAATTACGAATGCAAGTGGCTAATAAATTTATCAAGGTGACCATGTAAACAATCACATTAATAACATGTTAATCACATTACCATTTAACTCATATGAATAATCTCAAGAATAAAGTCAAGTACAAAGTTTACACAAATGCCACATATACATTATTCGCATAATTACTACATGTTCTCATTTCTACATTATAATCATATCCTTAACATAGCCATCAATCACTCAAATGGCATGATAATAATAATATGCATGATCAATCTCTTCCTTATATCCCCCTTTATTTTCTCTAACATGAAATTCGTGAGCCAACAACCGGAAGGGATCGTCCATGTGGTGAGACTACCCAAGGCCTTAATCATATCATGAGGGGCTACCGGGTCAGGGTTACCTCACTCACTTATAAACATAGTTTTCCCCAAATCACACACTATGGGGTGTCATATCAAAAACTAGCTCTACCCAAAACTCCAGGTAGGCTAGTAGGGTCAAGTCCCTTAATAGAAACAATGCTACAATACCTTACAAGGTAAGTAATGGCTATAACCCCTAGGATTATTGGTTAATAGCCAAGTACCATATGGATTTTGCATAACCGCTAACTCTTTCACTAAAGCAAACTCCCCTATATGATCATGCTCATGAGAAAATGCATTTCAAAAACTCATATATATAATTCACAATTATCCCATATGCTCGTCAACTTTCTTGCTTAACAAACATAAAAAATCATCATATTTCAATCATGCCTATTGCATCAATTTTTATATTATCATATAAAATCACATTAGCATCATATAACACTCAACATACTCATATACAATTCATCACTATACATAATCCGCAATTTATAATCAAAAATGTATACATCCTCATCAACCATCAATCTCATTACTCACACCAAGTAACAATTAACTTGGTCATAAATCATAAAGTCTTAACCAAGCCACATGCATTACAAATAACTATTTCAAAATTTAGATATATATATTCTTTTGTTTCACCAACATAATTAATTAATTAATATACAAATGCATAAAATAGATTTTTCCGATTACCTCAACTTTTGAGAGGTCAAAGTTACTCCTCAAGTTACAACACTTCAAAACTTTCCAAAGTTTGAATGGTGTCAAAAGAAATTAATCTATAATTGATTATATCTCAATATGTCAATAATATTATTAACATAATTTTTACTCATACTCTAACACCTAAGTATTTATTTTATTTTATTTCATTTTTTAAAATCTTAGTCTTAGCCTCTTGAGTTATAAAATTTAATTTCATGTATTTGAATCTATCTATTTGGTTCAATAGTCTCCTTCACAATAATTTTATTCAAATAATTTTTTAATATCAAAATTTTCCTTTTTATTCCAAAAATTCGCCATAAAAATACCCAAAAATTATAAAACTTGATTTTAAGCCTAGAATCATTATTCTGTAGCCATAATAATTTATTTCTCATCTCAAATAATCATCTAAATATCAACAAATCAATTTATATTTTTAAATTTAACCAAAAATCTACCCATAGGAATCTAGGGATAAACTCAAATGTCTCAAATTATAATTCTATCAACAAAATAATACTCTAAAATATTTATTACACTACCAACAACCTCAATAACCAGATTTACTCATCAAAAATTTATCCCTCTTTCAAATTCTAGATTTTCTAAAATCTCAGAATCTGCAACTCAAAGGGAAAAACGACTAAGAAAAAAATATTTAAAACACTTATCTAGTCTTAAAATACTTAAAATCTTATCTGAAGTATTCTATTGTGGAGCTTCACTTTCTAAATCAGCTCTTACAGCCACAGTGTCGCTCGCTCTTTCGCTTGCTCTCTATTCGCACCCGAGGCAAATGAAGAAAGAAGGAAGAGAAATAAAGATGAAATACGGGAATAAGTTGTTTTAAAAACAAGTGTAGGTCCTGCATGCTAATCCACGCCTCTCTCTCTTTCTTTTGTCTTTTTATTAATTTACACAGTACAAAGCCGAATTGTTTGCCCCATCTCTTCATTTCACATTTCTTTTTTTTTTGCATTATTTACACCTCAATACCCACACAAAAGCAAAAATTACTTTCTCTCCCCTTCAATTTTTTTAATGTTCCTTTTCCTTCTTCTTTCTTTCTTTTTTTTAATAATATTATCATTACTATTTTTATTTACTATAAAATCATAACTTAAGATTTTAACCTAAATTAAATTCAATAATAATTTTCTAATTAAAATTATTTATATCTAAATATTCCCCCAAAATTACTCATTTGCTCTAAATTAACTTAATTAACCTTAGGTTAATTTTGAGATGTTACACTAAGCATATGAACAATTTATATAGGAAACATAAATCATTGATATATAAAAAATGAACAATTAATGTAAATAAAATTTACAACTTTCATTGTGCCTACATTAGTTGTTCATTTTTCATATATCAGTTATCTATTTTCTCTACATGAATTATTTATGCACCTAACTTCACTGGTTTATGTTTATAATGGTGTTATGATATTACCTATTTTTCAATTTTTCTATTTTATATTATTTATTATTAACAATTTAAATAACTTTTAATTAAAATAAAATATGCATCTTTAAAAATAAGACATTCTTTAAATTTATTTTTATTTTGTTAAATAAATCAAAGAAAAAAATATTATAATATCATATGTATCGTCATTAGTGTTACCTTTTAAAAGTCATGTTCTTTCTAGTAATTTACACATTTTAAGTGCTTTTAATTTAAATTATCTAAGCATCTCCATTTGATTAAAATTAGTTTTGAAAAACAATATCCAAACATAAATCAATGGCATAACAAAATCAATTTTGCGCAAATACCATTTTAATAATTTAGAAGAACCAAATATCAAAATGAAAATTCAAAAATATCAAGAAAAAATTACTCACAAGGACCCAATTTAAAAACTATTTATTCCTGAAAACCTCAAGTATTAAATACTTTAAGAGACACTAAAGTTTCATAATTTGAGTGTTAAATACTTGAACTTATCATCTGAAATAAATAATTTCTAAATTTTATGAATAATTTCCCCAACTATTAAATTACCCTTGGTCAGATCAGATTCCAGCATTGTCCTCCAGATGTCACGTTTGTATAGAAAGTAACAGGCGAATGGGTACGGAACTGGATACGTATGGAACTTGCGTCTTGCATGGTGAAGACTGGAGAGTAGATAAGGAAGAAGAATAATAAGAGAGCTAGACGTAAATAAATCAACATAACATTACTAAATATTTTGTTTGTTTTTTAACGTGTAATTATAGTGCAAGACAAAAATAAATCAACATAACATTGCTAAATATTTTTTGTTTTTTTAACGTGTAATTATAGTACAAGACGAAAAAAATCATGAGAATGGATGAAAAATTGCACAAACCTCACATCCCACTTTTGAACTTTGGTGTTGCAGAGTAGGAATTTGGAGATCTGCTGTATGTCTTGAAGCATTCTCTCATAATTTAGTCATAATCAACTGTTCCTTTTTAACTTTGGTTTTATAAAATTATTGTAAAATGTTTCATGAGAGAATGCAGGAAAAATGTACCAAAATTTTATTCTTTAAAATTTCCCTGATATATTGCCAGGTAAGTCCATGAAGAGTAGGAAACAGGGCGCTATCACAAGAAACAAAACATTAAAGGATATTAAACATGAGTATAAGCAGCCTGAGATCTGCAAAATGAGAACTATTTGATCAGCTTCTAGTTAAAATAAAGATTCTTCAGTTAAAAAAAGGGCAAAAAAAGGACCAATTGAGCAATCAACTATCTCCATCGTTAATAACAGATGTATTGAAATTACATTCGCCGGATCGAAGCAAGATGAATGCAGAGAAAATTTATCACATTTCCATATTCAGGCTTGACTATTGCTGAAACCGCCATCATCCATCGCACCATTATCCATCATTGAACCACAAGTGAACCTCCACACAGAAGCACAGTTTTCACTCCCTACATTAAACAAGCAGATTGATTGGTAGGTGCCGATAAGACTTGTGAAACAGCTTTGACAACCATAAAGTGAATCATGGTTAGCTTAGAACTGTCGTCATATCTAACGTCACAACATCGAACCAGGAAAACGAAGGAAAGAATAATGATGGATGAAAGAACCCGACAGTGAAAACAGTCTCGAATTGTATCCAAAAAGAAAAAGGGGGAAACTCATAAACATCGGTCAATAGAGGTACCACTCAAACACAAATCCTCGTTGTCCTCATCATCAGGGATTACAAATCTTCGGTGACCGGAGGAGGATACTGCAAGTGGCAGAAATGGATGGAAAGAGAAGCCATTTACAGTGTCTGCAAAAGAAACAAAATCAAAAAAGCTCATTAATTTGGAAAACTTCCAAACGGCTGATAAAGTAGATATTTAACGCACATTAGCAAAGCTGTAAATATGATTATATTTTGCACAGTTCATTTAAAATACCATAGTTCGCTGTATGCCCACTATTTTACTAGACTATAAAAATAAGAAATTCAAAAAATGAGAGTAACAAGAGAACAACATGATGAATCAGAGTTAAAAATGGGGTTATCATCAGAACTGAGCTAAGCTGAAAGATTAGACGGACAGGCAATCGAGATGGTTTTAGAGATAGGAAAGCATCACTATAAGAGAGAAATGTTGTGCAATTAGTTAATGGAGATTGTTAGTAACTTATTTGGCTGTCAATTCTGTTAGGAAATCTTAATTGTATCCCTGTCAGTATAAATAAGAGATATATGGATGTAAATCTTGAGAGTGATTTAAATAAGAGGTAGATGAATGTAACTAATAGAGTGCGTTTGTGCATTTTTTATTTGGGTGAAGTCAGTGTGTGCATTTTACTATGCAACAATAAGTATCAGAGCCCAATTCACACACCCATCATAAAAATGCACGACCATGTCATGAAGATATGAACAGACATCACTGAATGCTGAAACTCAAACATCAAAAGAATTGCCATACTGGAGTAAAATTTGAGAATTAGACAGACTATCCTCTATCAAAGCCCTGCACCCAAAAAAGTTCAAGAGAAAGTCCTTTGATCATGGCAGTCGAAGAAAATGCAAAAAACGTCCAGAAGATAATGAATCCAAAGATTGACAAGACGACATAGAAGTCCAGTAATCAAGCCAACGAAGTAGAAGACTGAGGACAATGAAGATGACTGCAGCCAAGAATGTTGCCTCTGAGAAATTTCAACTACCACTGGACTCTGATTGATCAATTGACACAAGAAGATGCCAATCTTAATAATAATCCAACATCAAAGAACCATAAAGGAGAAGAAGATGAAAGAGATGATGAAGACAACATCAAACAGAAAGATTCTGCAATTTTGGAGAATAATATTTTTTTGGATAAAACTTCTTGTGAATTGAGCATTGAAATTTTTACCATCCTTCAAGACAAGGACCATTTTCCCAGCCCAGCTTCTTATGTGGCTAGTAAGTCAGTAATCTGATAGGCTGTTAGTGCTATTAAAACATATATATATATATAGGGATAGAAGCATGTAAAGTGCGTGAAAGATTTGAATACTACTGCGTTTACATTGTAAATGTATCATTTGGAGTGAGATAAAAGCGCATGAAGAGAGACGAATTGATTAGGGATCCAAACCAAATTTTGCACTCCTCTTTACTCCTCGGTCTCTAGATCATCTAGATCAAATTTGTAAAGTTAATAGTCTATTTTGATATGAACCATCCCGAGAAGGAGTGAAGAGGTGAGTAGAGAAACAAATTTAATACGGGATCATTGAACAAGCCACAAATTTGAGATCAAGACCAAGTTTAGGAAGACATAAAAGCATATAAAGAGTATAGCCACTAGCATTATTTAAGTATAGTACCTGATGCAGCTTGGAAGCATGAAACCCATTGCCCAGTTCGAAGATCATATATATGAACTAAGCCATCCTGACACCAAAACATGCAAAAATTATTAAGAACACCTAAATGGATTTTAAGGCAACATTGTTTCTAGATAATAGGAACAAATAACATGCATAAGATACCTGACCACCAGTACCAAGATGCTGTCCGGAAGGCTCAATATCAAACAGTATCCGCTGATTGGTGTTTTCTGATGATCTGTATAACCTAACAAAGAGGTCCACACGTGCAGCCATCTCAGATTTCAACAACCATAATAACAAAATAAATGACAAATTTTTCTAATACAAAAATACTACAATGTCAAAGGAAAACCAATGCACATTGACATAAGAAACCAAATAAGGGATATTAAATTTTATTGTGTGTGTGTAAGTCCTCACATCCTAAAATTTTAAAACTTGTCATATCTTACGTATCATATCCAATACAAATACCTGTATCGGTGTTACATAGCAAATAGCAAACAGAAACTTGAAAATGAGCCCCAAAAAATGCCATCTGGAGTTGACTTTAGTATGATAACGCCTCTGCTTTTTACAAAACCAGGCTTAAAAGAACACATCATTGCTAGAAGGTAATTGATAGAAAATATGGCAGATATTATTCTAGAAAGAAATAATTGTTTTTGCATTATTTAGTATTTTGTAGGTTTCCTTCTAAGGAAGGAAATCTGACTTGCTCTTGCTTTTTGCTCTTTATATATTTTAATCTACAAGTTGAGCTTTCTTAAGGGGAAGGAAAGCTTAGTCTATAAATAGACTAAGTTACCATTTGTACTGGACGTCTTGGATGATGAATGAATATTAGAAATGATATTTTGATTGTTCTCTCTCTCCCTACGTTCTGATTCATTCTCTCTTTCTCCCCCTCTCTGTTCTCGATTTCCATCTCTGTTTCTGCTGTATCTCCCTCTTCCAGCTCTGTTCAAATCAATACGAGCTTGTGCGTGTGTTTTGCATCATAATGTGAAACTTCAGCTTTCAGTTTCACATATCTAAATGGACAACAACAGTATTTGAATCTAATTAACAAGCATATCATATGTTCCCAGTTTAAAAAAGACGGTAAGTCTAGATTGTGGTTCAATTTTATCAAGAAGTTTGACATAAGTTTTATACATTCCCAATTATCCTGCATGTGATCATGTAAACCCGATAATCCTATATATACACCTCAATTTTCTAGCATTCATGAAAAACATACATAGATAAACCACATTAGATGAGTTAGAGAATAGTACTTGTAGACACAATCAACGGTTTTGCGCACATCCCAGCAGAGTATGTAAGGGTCCTTCAAGAAATGTGAATGTTAAAATATGTTGACAGGATACAAGAAGCAAAATAATGCTAACATACAAAAGCTATATTTGTCAGAGAAGTATGGCCAAAGGGCCAATTATCTGTAACAAGAATACGATCCAACATAGCTGCATAACAATTTAGGTTGTGAGAGTTTACAAATGGAAGTAAAAGCAAACAGCAATCAGATAAAACTGGCAATCAAAATTCAAACTGTTTGTGAACCAGGATTACATACATTTGAAATCCACGCAACTAATAATAAGAAAATATGTATTCATTTTCCACCTTTGTAAGCAATGTCTTTAGCACCATGGTCACAGACCGCAATCATCATATTTACTTAAGGAAATGCTAGCTTATGAGAGGATACTTCCTCATTTGTCCAAAATGGAGGTGTGAATTCAGGCAACAATCTGCTAAAAACTAAAGCAGATGTATTCGATTCTCACACCCTAAATTATATAGTCAACTGAAGCAGGCACCAACTCGAAAATTTCTGGTGATGATGGGAATTTACTTTTTTAAGGTTTAGTTATAAGCCTGAGTAACAGGATTGTTCTCAGGGCAAATGCCTGTTAGAAACACGTTAACAAACACTCTAAGCAGTATTTCTCTGTAGCATTCAATTATCCTTAGTCTAGATAAACTGAGAAAAGAAAAACAATTAAATATTACCTTCCGGCCTCCAGTGTATAAATAGTTTCCATCTCTAGAGAACTGGACCTGTAGAAGGGAAAAGTTTTTGCTTACTTCGTAATTTTATCAAGAGAACAAGTTCTTGACAAGGAAACCAGACTTACATGTGTAATCCCACCTTCTTGCCCATGCAAAACATACAAGAGTTCCATATTATCTTCCCTGTATATAGCAGTAATTTGATTGTATGAACCCATAGCTAGCATCCCCGTATGAGATGGAGAGAAAGCCATTGCAGATATAATGCCTGAGTTAATAAAAACTGAATTATATCTTATACTTTTAGCATATCTTCAGAAAATTTGTGCCCTAAAATATTTGCCAAAATAGTACTTCAGAGCTACAATTAGAAAACTTACCCAGTTGGCCTTCTTTGTTATCTTTCACAGTAGAATGCAATTCAAAATCTCTACCAGGCCGATGTAAATCAAACACCCTAATAGATTTGTTGTATCCAGCAAATATCCTGCATGATGAAGCAAGAGCATTAATTTATCATTCATCTAGGGACAATGATGCACACGTTTATCTACCAAGTCTGAACATAGATGTGCACGTGCACCCATTGAGAGAGAGAGCATGACCAAATGTTGTCAAAAACTTGAAAAATTAGATGACAACTCAGACAATTACAAGACAATTTTAAATGGAAAAATCCATGATGTTAATATTGTCATCTAATTGGAATAAGGTATTTATCTTTTGCTAGCAGCATTAATAATTGATATAGTAACCTAAGAATTAGTATGGTTTAAACTTTTAATTTTCTAAGGAAGCACGTAAAACCAAATGGTCAGGAAAAAATATTACATATGTAGTAACTCCTTAAAAACTATTAATCCTTGAAAAGTATCTTGCATACTTAGTCCCAGCTGGGTTGAATGCAATTGAAAAGGCAGCAGTGATTTCATCCATAGCATCATAGGCTCGGTATGTACAACGCAGCTGCAAATTTCAGTGAAAACAGTTGTCAGAAATCATAATACCAATAGCAATACAAAAACCAGTGTGACCTCAAATTTTGCGTGTAACATCATTGAGGCCTTGTACTTTCAATTTTGGGGAAAATAATAAAATTCCAATATTCAACATTTATTGAACACCGTCAAGATAGACATGATTTACGCTGCCTGTTTGATTTTGCTGAGTGTCCTTGTGTATGTATACATTTTCACATGGTATGCTTGTTATGCAGTAAAACAACATGATCATAATACTAATTGGCAAATTGCAAGATTTGCTGTAATGTATTACAATGACTCTCTCATTAAGTGAGTTTGCTGCATGGCCTCTGTGCTACACGGATAAACTTAAAATAAAATAAAATAAAACAATGCATCATAATAGTACCTGGCCTGAAGTAGCATCCCATAGATGTATTGGATGGTCTCGGGTGGTAGTTGCAAAAACATTAGTCACTGGATCTGAAACATGGCCAAGCTTACCAGAAATGTCAATTGAAGCCTGGAGAATGTATTTTAGAGTCCAGTAGAGACTAGAGTATGCATATTCTCACATTAAAAGCATTCAATTGAAGCACCTGAGGCAGACATGTAAGGATACCAACAATAATCATATACAGACTCTCCTTCAACCATGACTATATTTGCAGCAAACGAATCTGTAGAGAAACAGTAATCATTACACAAAGTCATAATCCTCTTCATAATGTTCAAAGTTTAATGAAATTTGAAATTAAAATTTTAGGAAGGCTTACTTACCATCTTCTGTAGCTACAGAACAAAGATCAAGAGGAAAACCGTTTTCATTCTCTGGTCTGTCAGAATAAATCACTAAGTTATCACATGGTAATATTGAAACAATCCGATGCTACAAATAATAAATGCAAACGAAAAAACACAACTCTGGTTCAAAAAATCCAGGCATTAAATGTTACAGGCAATAGAAGTATCTGAGCCATGACGAAGCATTGATAGTGCTAACTGCTAACATAACAAATATCTCCAGTCATTACATTCCAATTTTCTTTAAGATGATACACACGAGCATAGTAGCGTCTAAGTGCATCCATTCCTAGCAGCCAAAAATAAAAATGTAAAATGTAAAAAAGATGAAGATAGCCAAACAGACTTACAGTACGAAAAGTCGGAGAGTGTTATCGTCGGAACTCGTAAGAAAGCAGGAACCATCAGGTGACCTGAGAGCAGAAAGGAAAAAGTAAAACAACGAAGGCGCGTTTGTTTTCGCTCACGCAACAGATGGCGATAGCAAAGAGCGAAAAGATTGAATAGGGTAGTACCATTTAACGCCCTTGAGAAAATTGTTAGGGTTTGAAGGAGTTGTGAACTGTTGGTGGAAATGGTAGATTCTCTGCGCAGGGATATTGAAGTTAAGCACAGGCCAGGAGCATTCTTCCTTGCTAGCTTCGGTAGCTTCGTCGGCCAAACTGTGCTGATGGTTCTCTTCTTCTATCATAGTTCTCTCCTGAAGGAACCGAAAAGCCGATGCACAGACAAGCCGATACTCCAACAGTGAAAACCCAGTATGGCTGCCTAACGTTCGGCTTCAAATGGAGTTCCCCGCTCAGCCTCCTTCCGCATCTTCCAGTCCAGCTCTGACCACACGGCAGAAGTGACACTCGCTCCGCTTGGTTTTCTTTTGGATGAAAATATTGGATATTAATTATTGTATTTTAAAAAAATAATAATAATTTTTTTAAATTATATAAATCATAATTTAATATCTTAAAATATTAGTATTTTATTAAAAATTTTAAAAAAAATTATTAATAAATTAATTTATATTATTAAAATATCCTTAATTTTGTCTTAAGTTTTATTTAAAAGGTCACAATTTTTATTTTTAAAATAATAAAAATTTAATAACAAATTACAAATTCATAAAATTCTTAATATTATTAAAGTGTTGGGAATAATAAGTGTCAATTACAATTTTATTTAAAAAATCACATATTTTTTTTAAATTACAAAAATGTAATAATAAATTATAAGTTCACATGTTAAATTACTGATATTATTAGCATAAAAAATAATAAGTGCCAATTACAAGTTTTATTTAAAAAATCACAATTTTTTTTTTTAAATTATAAAAATACAACAGCAAATTACAAGTTTACATGTAAATTTCTTGATATTACTAACGTTGTAAATGACAAGTGCTAATTACAAATTTTATTTAAAAAATCACAACTTTTTTTTTAAAATTGCAAAAATGCAATAACAAATCACAAGTTTGCATGTCAAATTTTTAATATCATCAGAATTAGAAATAACAAGTGACAATTACAAATTTTATCTAATGAATCATAATTTTTCTTCTTAAAATCATAAAAATGTAACAGCAAATCACAAATTCATATGTCAAATTCCTAATCTTGCCAGGGCAATTTGTCAATTTGAATCAAGGACAATTTGATTGTTTATATTAATTTATTAAAGACAAAAAAGTCTCTAAAGACTTTAGTAAAATTATGACATTTTGAGAGATCAAATTATCATTTATATAATTTAGAAGGATTTTATTGTCATTTTTCCTTTTTAAGTCATACCTTTATTTTAAATAATATAATATAATTAAAATATATCTATAGTTTTTTATAAAAAAAATTAATTATTTGATCCTTGTAATTTTGACCAAATTGTAACTTAATCCCTAAATTTTGAATCGTTATAATCAGTCTTTGAAATTTTAACTCTGTTATAAAATAGTCACTAAACTTTGCCTCTTACCATTTAGTCCCTAAAATTTTAACTTCTTAAATATTAATCTCTATATTTTAAAAAATAAAATTATACAGATTAAAAATATTTTAAACTTTTAATATTTATAATGTTTATAAAGATTAGAATGGTTTAATAATTTAAAATATTAGTAATAAATTTTAAATATTTTTAATCTTTATAATTTTATTTTTTAAAATATAGGGACCAATATTTAAGAGATTGAAACTTTAGAGACTAAATTATAAGAGGCAAAGTTCAGAGACTGATTTACAACTGAGTTAAAACTTTAAAATTAAGTTATAACGAGTCAAATTTTAATGACTGAGTTATAATTAAATTAAAATTATAAAGGATTAAATGATTAATTTTTTTTATAATCATGAAAAAATTACTACTGCTAATATCATACGCCATCGCACTATGACATGAGTATATTATTGCATATAATAATTTTTTAAAAATTCCACAATCTGAACCTAAATACGATCCATGCATGTTTCATCTCTAAACAATAAATTCATGGGCATTTGAGATTTTAAGCTCCTCTTCCTGTGCAATGTCACCTTAACTTTTAAAAATTGTATAATATTATTTCTATCATCAACAAATATTAACTATGACCGTTAATTTTCTTAGTCATTTGTTGTAAAATTTTATTGTCGTTATCTCTAATTTTGGGATTTTTTTGTAATTTTTTGTTTTATTTTGTAATTGTTGAAATCTTTTCTATAATTTTTTTAGTCAACTAACAATTAAAGTTAACTTTTTTAATATTAAAAATGCTATACTATTTTAAAAAGTTGAAGAAAACATTGCAACAAAAATAATTTTTAAATGTTAAATGTAGGAGTGTTCAGCTTGTACCATCATATCTAGACAGGTTTCATCCCATCCCAAAGACAATTAGGATAGAACTTTACAAGATAGGACAAAAAAGGAGTTCAGAATGAGACGGGACACAAAATTACGATTGGGACGTCCCATCCCATCCCGTCCCAAATATTATATATAATTTTTTATTTTAAAAATATATATTAAATATATTAATTATAATAATATCATTTATACTTATATCAATTATAATTTTAATACTTGCAATTTTTATATAAAATTAAAGTTTTTATATTAATAATTTTAATGACATAAAGTAACAAGGTGATACCTTTCTTTATAATATATTAATTATATTAATATAATTTAGTCTTATATCTATCTATTCAATAACTTTTATTTATATCATATTTCTTATTTTATTTTTAACAAAGTAATTAACTTAACACATTTCAACTAAAGTAGAAGAAAAATGATTTAATGTTATGCCTTGACTTGCCTGTTATTGCTACTCCTATAGCCTATAAATTACTTGTAATTACTATCATAATGTGTAGTAATTAATGTAATTCAATAATTGACTTAAAATTGATATGATTTATGTACTTGTGTTGTTTTGATTTAAAACTTAATAAATTATATGATTTAAAATTTTAATGAATGTTATTATCTAGATCTTTATTCGACATTGTCTGATTTATTGAGACAATGGGACATCCCAATCTCATTTTGGTCCAGTCCCAATTCCTAACGGGACAGGACAATTTTTAGGACAGGATAGGACATGGACAAAAATTTAGTTCTGATCTTTTATTCTGGACGGGAGACAGGATAGGGGTGTCTTAATCCCGTCCAGTCTCATGAACACCCTTAGTTAGATGTATAATTTAAAGATGAAATTGCCCTTTAACCCAATATAAAACTTAGAGTTAGGCAAATAAAATATGGGCCAACCTACACAAGCTAACGTTTTGGCAAGTTGGGTTTGGGCTAGCCGGGCAAGTAAACGGGTTAGGAAAACCCAATTTGCGCATCAGCAAGTTGGTTGGCCAAACTACAAAATATACCTTGAACCTTTTCTTTGGATGATTTAAAATTTTCTAACAGCACATGCATACTTGTTAAATAAGTTCAAAAACCACTTAGAGTATGTTTGATTCAAAAGGAAGGGAGGAGAGGGATTTTAAGGAGAGGGGCTATATGGAGGGAGGTGATGGGAGAGATTTTAATAATATATTGTTTGGTTTAGAAAGAAAGGGAAGCTAATAATAAGTTGATCATTATATCCCTAGTAAGTTTAAATTGTTTTTTTAATGAAAAGTAGTTATATTAAAATTTAATTATTACAGTTTTAAAATTGTCAAAACTTGCACTTTAAAAATTTCAAACCTTGCACCTTCGAATTTGATTACAAACTTATAATGTATATTCATGAGTTATGCAAATTGTTTGAAAAAAAAATGAGAGATTTGCAAAATTAAAAGGTAATGTTTTTGACTTGTGACCCAGGCTTTAAATACCATCATTATTTATTCAGTGTTTTGTCCCTGCTATTTCAAAGTAGATTTTCTATTTTAAAAAGAGAATAAAACATATATTTGATGAATGATCATTAAAAAATCTAGAAAAAATATTAAAAAAAGAGTAATAATAATTAAAAAGAAACCAACACACAAACATAAAACTGTATAGCAAGGAAGGTAGATATTAAAAAAAAGCACAAGAATTACATTTGAATTAAAAAATACTGACAAAGATAATTTGGTCATAATAAAATAATTTACAACTGTCTCCCTAATTTGGGAGGGGAGGGGCTCCCCTTTGTATACTCAAATCAAAGTATTCCCTCCAATCCTATTTATAAATTATTTTTACTTATCTCATCAATACCAATACAATAATAGAATATCATTTTCTAGTATTTCTCTCTCCCTCAAATTATAATTGAAATTTCAAAAATAACCCTCAATGAAAAAGGCAAAAAGTGCAGTCAATATAATATCATTTTTCAGTATTTTTCTCTCATTTACTTTACAGATATAGGACCAAAAAAGTTGCTCAATTTTCTAGCGGGAGTTGAAAAACACTGGTGGGTGAATTTTAGAAAAGTTAGCTCCCTTTGAGAGGGAGTCAAACTGCGGAATCAAAAAAGAAAAAAAAAGCACTGAATATTCAGTCTTCACAATGGAAAAGTGCTCCCTCTCCTTTAATTTAAATGCTCCAGCCAACGAAGAAGATAGTAAGGATAGTAACACCTTTTACTTAGACTTAAATACTCCTCCCATATGTGAGAATGTCCAACTAGACAACAATAAAATGAAGGTCAACATATTACAGTCAATGAAGAAAGAAATAGTAAGGACATCTCTCTTTATGAAATCCATGAGTATCCTTATGTAAAATTTACATTGTGAAAACCTATTAAAAAAGTTGAATAATAAAAATATAAAACTTAATACCTTTAAAATCATCAACAAAGAAATTTTTTAACTCAGGCAACAGAAAGTAAGAAACCATTATATGTTTAAATTAGTATTTTGACTTCAACTTTAAAATATCTTGTATAAGACGTTTATAATTCACATAGAGCTAGATTTGGGTATGTTAAGAGTCTCTTAGCCACATACAAACAAGCAAGTTATTTGACATATAGAATTGTTTATCACATTCGAATACGGTGTGACTAAAAAAATTGAAAGATATACTCAAACATTTGAATTATAGTAATAAAGATATATTGATGCAGATGTAGAAGATATATTTTTTAATGTCATTAATTTTTTTTATCAAACAAATTTTAGCCTCCTTAATCATTCTAGATATATTTACTTGTCTAGTTGGATAATATTAAGTATAATTTAGCACCATAATTCTCTTTAGAAAAGTAGTGGACATGACATGGATCAAGCAAAGCTAACCTAACAAATTTAGACTTATTTTGAACAAGCCCTGGCTTATATTTTATTCTCATGAGTTAAGATAAGGCATTGCTTTAACACCTAAACTAGTTCTATGTATGCTTGTGCTTTCCATTGAAAACGTTGATTTTTTA